ATATTTCCCGTACGATTAAAATCGTAACGGTACTGGGTTTGGTCTACAGGAGCTCGTGTTTCGTACAGGTCATTCCATTCATAGAAAAAGCCTTTAATGGTGAAAGCGTACCTGCTGTCTCTTATACACACCTGTCATTAGCCATAGTAGCCTAGGTCAATACATAACACCGGCTGTATAAAATTTATTATAAGATTGAAAATGTTAATCTTATTATTGCAGTAGTGATACACTATGTACACGGTTTATCTATTGTTATTTATTCGTTAACGTTATCATATTAATATATAAATTTAATGTATTGTTTAAGTATGAATTACTATGTCCATGTTATCTATTAAAATTGTATAATTAAATAATATAGTAATAGGCACTGATAACCGAGGTCTAGCCTAGACCAATCCTAAAACAAGTGAATATGTACACTTTAATGCTTTCACCATTAAAGGCTTTTTCTATGAATGGAATGACCTGTACGAAACACGAGCTCCTGTAGACCAAACCCAGTACCGTTACGATTTTAATCGTACGGGAAATATCCTCAAGATGCAATATTACTGAAAATATGTAACTCAAATCTAATTTTTTATCATATTTAGTACAGTAGTCTTTTGAATTTCATATAATTTGTACTGTCCAGAATATTTGGGTCACATACTTAAATTACATTTGAATAATATAACAATAACATAATATATATAGCACAAAAACTATGGGTTTCAAAGCGCTGTTTAAAGCAGTTATGTTGTGTTTAAACGCAGAAATAAAAAAAAGGGGGAGGGGGGATTTTAGGTCTGATTAGTTATGCCAATGGCATCACTTCCATCTCCTGGTGCCACCACTAAACCCAGAGGTGATGGAACTAGGGGGTGCTGCGTTATGGAGAGTAATGTGTGACCAGAAATTGTCTGCAGTCAGTTGGTTGTTACCATGTGCCACCGATGTTGGAGTACGTCAGCAACATGAAACTATTTATGTAATGCATGAATAAAGCTTGGGGTTTGTTGTGTAGTGAAATGATTATTGTACATTTTATGTGCTCCCTCCATGCATAAGTGTAAGCTAAATTATGGTGATTAATTAGCGAAGATATAGAAACAATATTTCGAAGTTCCCTCTTTCCAAGAGGGGATGCGAATGCTTTGTGAAAATGAGTACGCCACGGTACTCATTTTCACAAAGAAATACACACAACTGGTTAGCTAACAATATGCAAATGTTACATGAACGCCTGGGAAGGAAGGTGCTATCACGTTCTGCTGCCAAGCAAACATCTGTACTGTAGCATGGGGAGGGGGGGTAGCCTACTGATGTACTGTGTAGTGGGGGACGATGAGGCATAATAAGACTAGGCCTAGGCCTAAGTAGACAATGCAATTATATGTGATAGAAAGTACACTTTCAAAAGAAATAAATTAAAATAAGAAAAAAAAATATAACTAAGAATAATTCAGTTGCAGACGTACCTTTTTTAAGTATTATACAATGCTAACAAGCGGCTCTTGTAGCCCTAGCTAGGCAAGGCATCCATGTGCAAAGCAGTGGTGTTTGTTTATAAATGAAAAAAGCACGCCGGGAAAGTTTGCCTTACCAGGAAGAGGTGACGTAATCTAGCTTATGACGTATGCATGCTAACTATATTGTGAGTTTGACGTCACTAAAAAATAAACATTTTCAATTATAACCAAAACAAGGTTTGTGGGTGTAAATTCCCTTAATATGAATTAAGGGTAGAAGAATCTCCTTCCATACAAATTACAATTCCCACTGACATCTCAGTCGAGAAATACGGGAAGCTGACGTTTTTCTTGAAAATCTCACTACGTAACCATATTGAAATTTCTCGTTCCACTTCCGACTCAGAGTTGTGCTTTGCACACACCGCTGAGGGCGGCGTTCCGGGAAACCTGCGTCCAGATTTTAGCATTTTGGAGGGAAACAACTTAAATGAATAGAATAGTCATATATGTTCAGGGCTGGCAAAAGTGTACAACGGCGCAAATGGCAGTCGTTAGCATCATGAAGGTCCCCAAGGCATTTTTGGAGAAAAAAAAATGAACTGTTGGGCTATATAGTGTACAAATAACATTTGGTGCTGCAAGTATAGAGAAAATTTTCATGGTTGGAGGCACAAATGTTGTTTTTTTCTTTTTTCCAGGCCTCATGCATACGCTAATAATATATCGTATAATAATACACAGCAAAGTACAACAGACCTTTCAGTGCTGAAAAGGGACCACCTTTCAAACAACTCCTAATAGCATTTTATTGAAATCAATAAATCTTTATAAGGGGATCACTTCAGAAAAATAACATTCCTGAAACAGAGCTAACACAGAAATGTCTACTGTGCACCCAAAACACCCATTGTTCATCCCTAGCAATCGAATACAAAAGAATATAATAAATATCTTTATTGTGAATCCAGGCACATAGCAATGGTTCTCATTTAAGGATCACCTATACATTTTTTTGTTACAGTAAGGCAGGGGTAGGTATAGAAATTGGTCAGAAGGCCAAAGTGATTTTTTAATTTAACACAGAGGGCCACACCTGAATGTTTATGTTTCCATTACGCTTCCAAAAACCTTCATGCATGCACTGATGTTATACCGCTTTATGTTTTAATATTACTTTCTACAGATGATCGGTGTCTGGCCGTAAATACAACTATACTTTATTAGAATACAGTACACCTACTTTAATCTGGGTACATAGTACCTTGTGTCTTATGACTGTAATTGAACAATGCAGATCATTATTAGATAACACACAGATTCTTGGAAACCAAGGCTTTGAAATGCCCAATTGAAATCTGGATTTTCCAAAATTAATTTAGTTATTTTTACCAACATTACAAATCATAATATCCCACAATACACCAATGACAGGTCATAAAGGTAAGTTGGTTAATTATTCACACTATAGTTTTTTAAAACCTTCGCTATGTTCTTTGGGAAATTCTATCACATTCATTAAAGGCCTGTACATGTGGTTAGGGGAGGGAGAAGGGGGAGTGTGTTCACCCCCCAAAATTACCTAAGGTCCACATTTTCCAGGGTAGATATTTAAAAAAATCATCCCTCCCCCACTCCCAATTTGTCATAATTATTAAAAAGAATGAAAAGAAATTCCAATTCAAATTTGAGTCTGAAGGTGCCATCTGCAGCCATCTAACATAACATAAATGATACCTCAATCCAAACCATGGTGGGGCTGAGGTGATATGGACCCTCAATCTGTGAAAGTCCTTCCCTTGCAATAACAGATCTGGAAGGTTGTCAGGGAGGTCCTGCCTCCCCTTGGGCAAAAAAAGAGAAAATTCTAGACCTTTTCAGGACCTGTGAAATTTGTGCTGTTACAATGGGAAAATTAGTCTGGATTAATTGAATCATTTTCAAGAGAGAGAAAACCTAAACGTTTTTCTATCTTTTTGACTCAGGATTTCTTGCAAATATGTTTACTGGTACAACAAAAACATTTTTTAAATATAAATTTGATTCCATTCCTATGACTTTTTATATATATGTAACTAACCATAGATTTACTTGTGAACATCGGTAAAATGGGGAAGGGATTAGCAAAAAAAAATCACCTCCCTCATCTGTTTTTATTCTTTGATAGGGTGATGAACTAAAAATATATCTTTTATGGGGCCTAACGATATGATTCTTTTGCCATTTTGTAATTTAAATTTTTCTGATTAACCTTGTATTACTATAATTAGATTTTTTTGTGACGAACGACTTTTTGGCCTGTCTTTGCCACATACAACGTATACAATTATAAATAGTATATTTAAATTAATACTCATTTTACCTAGCATTGACTTGGTTCATTTTTGAGATCCTTTCTCTTATTAAATAAAATTATAATATTTTTGGAATCTTCAGTTCACCGCTTATTCGAAAGCGGCGCTTATAAAAAATTATTGGCATTACAGTATTGCATAATGGGGTGAAGCCTGATTATTCAATCCTATTCCATGATTGCATATATTATTATTATTCATAATAAAAGGATAATATTTAGCATACATTCCCTGCAATATATAATCACGTATGTGTAAGTGCGGATGCTAGTAAGGTTAGCTTTTGTCCCGGGGCTAAAGCCCGTATTCTTAAAACAAACTTTAGTCGAACATCGAACTAGAACTTCATTTAGTGCTAGTTTCAACTTCAACCTCAATTTGTATTCACAAACAACGTAGTCGAAGTTTTAACTACGACTAAATCAAGTCCTAGTTTTAGTTTAACTGAAGATGACTGACAAGCAACAACTATCAAACTAACCAATGAAAAGAGCTAATTTTAATAGATCCGGTAATGCGGATAATATTAAGCTGCCGTCTGTGGTTCAAAAACCTATTTCCTCATAATTCATAGTAGATCATCATTCGCTGAATTAATTTTCTATAATAATAACTATATTAGTTGTTAACATATTACGATAGAGAATTTGAACAGTCACTGAAAATTTGCTTTCTTTGGAGAACTGTTATAGTTGAGCCCGAGCAAGGGCGGCGCCATCTTTGTTGTTATGGCGAAGCTACGTGACCGCAGCGCGAGGGGATTTCATGCAAATCAGGAACTATCGCATGTGGCTGGAAGAAACACGTTAATTTCTCCTTTTAGAAGCTGAACTTGATGTCTCTTTTGTTTAACACACTGAAAATATATCAAACCTGCGTATACAATCGTTTTTCTTCGTTCCACTTCATCGTGAGTTACAAAAAATATGTTTTTAGTGGGGTAAATATTTCAAGTCAGCGATTTAGCCTGACCCTAGGCTGACTAAAAAAATCGGCCTGTGGAGGTGTCATTTTAGTCGAGGTTCGCGTCATTTAGTCGCAGTGCTAGTCGAAGTTCGTTTTAAGAATACGAAATGACATAATTTTTAAGTTTTAGCTCGAACTACGACTAAAGTTCATTTTAAGAATACCGGGGTAAGTAGATTGCTAAGAAAATAATTTAAAAAGAAATTTTTCAATTTCTTTTCAGTTTAATTAAAAAATATGAAGATGAATCCACCACCAGAAAAGGATCCAACACCACCCCCACTGGGGGAACAACAAGGGATATTTCCTGATGGTGTACCACTGGAGGAAACAATAGTGACACCTCCTGAAGGTGTTGACACCTCACCACTGGATGAAAAAGTAGTGGCAATTCCTAGAGATGTTGCCAGAGAACAGTTTGATAAAATGCCAGTGGCGTGTCAAAAAGTAAGCTTCACTCCAGAATTTGGTGAAAAGCCAATGGCACCTCCTGAAATCTACAAGCCACCAAACTTGAATGGTACCCCAAATATGAATTTTTCTCCAGGTGATATCTTGTAAGTTAATTATTATTTCAAAATATCTATCAATTTCTGTCTAGAATATCAAATTTGATTTGAAAAAACATGTGGCATGCCTATAGTATGACATCACATTGTGACCATATATAGGCAAATTATGACTATATGTGGCAAAAACAAGCCAAAGCAGTTGCTCATTGCAAATCGTGTTTCAGAGATAATGGCCAAAACATGCTGGAATGTCAACATTTTTTTGAAATCTATTTTATTGCACTAAACTAACCTTTATATCTATACATCATGCTATGCTGTTATTTTCAACATTTTCAATGTTAAAACAACAATTTTTAACAATTTGGTGATGGTCTGCTAGAAATCATAAACTTCTCAAATATTGTTCTTTAAACAGCTCTATGTTTAAATACTTGTAACGTCATAAGGAAATGTCGGAGTTCATTGATTTTTTTCACCATTTTATAGCTCTCATTTTACTCTTTAACCCAGTGACTGGTTTGGCTTGTCTTTGACACATATATGGGCATGCAACATATTTTTGATAGTGTGGTATTTTAACAAACTTTATAGTTATGTAGCCTAACTACCTGATTACTGAAATTTTAATTATGCAAATGAGCAAATTAGCATATTCCCACAAGTACCAAAAACAGTAGGCTCAACCTTCTTACTATCTTGCATTTTGCCAACTTTGAATCCAATCAGACTTACCAAACTTATCGTTGTAACTACCATATATTATCTGATTAGTGAAATATTAATTATGCAAATGAATGATTAGCATATTCAAACATGTACCAAAACAATAGGCTTCTTATTACTATTTTACATTCTGCCAGGTTTGAAACCAATAAGACTTACCAAATTTGAGTTATTGTGGTAACTAGCTTAAATTACCAGATTGGTGAAATATTAATCATACAAATGAGCAATTAGCTTATTCACACACATACCAGAAACAACAGACTCACTCTTCTCATTAAATTATTGCATTCTGCCATGTTTGAAACCAATCAGACTTACCAAACTTTAGTTATCATCATTGTAACTGGCCTAAATTACCTAATTAGTGAAATATTATTTATGCAAATGAGCAATAGCATATTCACACTTGTACCAAAAACAATAGGCTCTGTCAAGTTTGAAACCAATCAAAATTACCAAGCTTTAGTTATCATAGCAACCAGCCTAAATTACTTGATTAGTAAAATATTAATTATGCAAATGAGCAATTAACATATTCACAGATGTACCAAAAAAAACAATAGGCTCTGTCTTCTTATTACTGTCTCGCATTTTGCCAAGTTTGAAACCAATCTAACTTACCAAACTTCAGTTATCGTGGTAACAAAAAATTTGCCCAACAATGAAAACAGCGACTACGACAATGACAACATGCAGAAGAACATGGGCAAAAACATTAGCTGAGGCTAATAAAAATGACAATAAATAATTCCAGGAATATAACTTCATTACAATGGTTCAAAGTAATAAATACAACAAAAAATAAACATTCAATAAATAGTTGTTAAATAACTAAATTTAATTGATTTAATATACTATTATAAACTTTAATATTATTTGTTAAGGAGTTATTTTTGATGAAACAAAAAAATATAATAAAAATAAATATAGCAATAAATAATATTATTAAAGGTAAATGGTATGATTGATGGTATATTTTTTAATTGTAGAAACAAGAACTTTGCATCAAACCATAAACCATATGAAAGTGAGGGGGATGAACTTGCTATGAAACATGATTTGCCAAGGCCTAGTAGTAGATCAAGTTTCAGTAGTGAACGTAGCGACAGCTTTGAAGTCCTCTCTGAACCTGATGATGTAATTCAATTTTTTAATTCATTATATTTATTTCTGAAAATGTAGTCTAAAATTATAATGCATAAGTAATTTGCAAGTTTTCAGAAGATACAAATTATGCCATGTGTGAATTTCATCCATGTGGTTTTGATATCTTTGGCACAACAAAAATAAAGATAAACAAAAATCAATTATTTCCTGTGAATTTGTCCTATGCTTGGACAATATTTTGCCTACCAGTGGAGTGCACGCCAGTGTTTCAGCCAGGCCAATATGAACATTGAAAGGGGTCTATAGCTTGAAAATAACCAGGATATAATTCAATCAATTAAAATGACACATAAATATCACCGGAGTGTGGGCTGAAATAGAGAGGGGGATTAAGGAAAAATATTGAATGGTTGGTGATCTTGTTTCCCACAGGTACAGGCCTCCACTTATGAGGGACCTACTTCCTGTGACTACCAAGAAATCTTGGCGTTTGTGCAGAGCAAGATCATTGTGAAAAACAACCCATCTTCACCACCACTGGAAGAAGAATCAGCACCTAGTGTCTGTCATCCACCTGTGAATGATAGCTTATCAGCCACAAGGTAAGGTGCTCCAAGGACTGCATATTCTCATGCTGTTTTAAAGTAAGTAGACTTCACATGTAGCCCTTAAAAATGTATTGTCCCTTGCTAATTTCAAAAAATCATAAAAATAATTTACTCATATTGCAATAGCATACAAATTATTAACTTGTGCATAAAAATTATTTAATTTAAAAAATGTGTACTCTGATTTTTAAACCAAAAAATTATAATAAAATTAATATAACACTTCCACTGACTGGAAGTGTTTCTATAATTTTTCGCTGTAAACTGATGAGTAGACATTTTTTTTAAAATACACTAATTTCTAATTTTAAGTTAATAACTTTTATGTTACTTCGAAATGGGCAAGTTAATTTCAAAAAATATTTTAATGTTTTTTTTGGTATTTAGCAAGGGACAATACATCTTTAAAGCGCTTCACATTATTACCCCCTAGTCATTGGATCAAGCACATATGGAACACATACACAGCTCCCTGGGGAGAATTCCATAATGTTGCGGCTGTAATCAGCGCAGTGTGGTGAGCCTACCACAGGTAGAGAGAGACAACCATTGGTATAAAGTGCCTTCTAAGACCAAGCGAAATGCACAGTGAAGAATTGAACATTTCAGTTTGCCACTTGGCATATTCTTGGCCTTCGGCAAGTTAAAACAATTAATTTTAAAAAAAAGAGATGGTACACTTGATTGTATATATTTTTAAATTGTAGACAAAATGACTCATCAGCATCTAACCAAAAACCAAGAGGGATTGAATACACAAGTAAAGAGGGAGACAGATTTGCTGGGACACATTTTTCGCCAAGGCCTAGTAGTAGATCAAGTTGTGAGAACATTCCCCCTGAAGTTACTCAGGATTTTGAAGCTGTCTCAACTTATTCAGACAGTGGTGGATGTAGTGACAGCTTTGAAGACATCTCTAAACCTGATGATGTAATTCAATATTTAATTCAATATAGTATATATTCTGGAAATTTACAAATAATCAAAATGTTGGAGAATAAAATAGACTTGTAGACCATTCTAACAACGATAACAATAATAACAAGGGTATTCAGTAGAAAGTACATCACTGCCCACCGCAAATCCTTTTCTATAAAATAGATCTCCCAAAATATATTTCTAATTTCCAACCACCACCCCCACCCACTTTGCTCCGCTACTCTTAAAAAACACCTGGAATAAACACCTTTATTTTCAACAATACTGTGTGAATATTTTAATGAAATTATCTTTAGAATGATGTGTATCTGAAATTACATAATTTCTCTTGGTTTATAGCTTGAGAACCAATCAGGAGGCAAGACTTTTTTTTACCTTGTTTGCAATCTTATTATTTTAAAAATCGTCAGAGGAGGGCAGGAAAAAGCAAAAATGAAATGTAATTCTTATTCAAAATCATTAGTATTGGGGGAAGCGGGGTCGCTAAACAAGGTATAAAAAAAGTCTTGTCAGCTTAATGCAATGACACTCGAGTGTGGACTGAAATAGATGGTTGGGGGGGGGGGTTAGAGTAAATTTAATGGTTTGAGTTTTTGTTTTCCACAGGTACAAGCCCCTACTGAGTTTGAGCCTTCTTACTGTGACAACATACAAGCATGTGAAGAATCTGCTATACCACCTAGTGTCTACTATCCCCCTGTAAATGACAGCTTGTCAACCACAAAAGAAGGTGTTCCTAAGGCTGAATTTTCTGCTGCTGAATTACAAAAAAAGTAAGTTATGACATCAATAGAGATATGTTTGTACTTCTTCAGCCTAAAATAACACAAGATTACTAAGTACAAATAGTGCTAATGTGGGAAAATATAATTCATGGTAGCCTGTACAATCATTAAACACAAATTAATGCATCATTATACAATGATACCTATATATATTCTATTAATTTGATTGGTTAAAAACAGGTCATGTGAGATTGATTTAAAATAACTATTCCATGGTTATTTGAGTACTAGTCAACGATTATTGAATAGTACTTTTCCATCTCCAAGATGACAAAAATCTCAAATGCAACGCAATGCAAAGAAAGAAAGAAAGATAGCCTAGCATAGCAAAGCGTAGTTACAAACTGTGCGTCAACAATTAGTTGATCATTCAGTAGCCCTCGAGTAGCCCTCGCTCCGCCGATAACATGGCAGGTCCATTTGATACTGCGTCATTTGTACTTTTGAGCGAAGAAGGTTTTAGGAATTACTAAATGAAGTGATGCCGAATCAACAAAAAAGGCAATAAAATAACAGTAACTCACAAAAACTCTTTGAGTAAAGAAGATATGACAAAGATTTTGCTATCGTTAGATACAGCAGCCTATTCAACTCGGCTACACCTCGTTGAATAGAACATCCAATCTTTCACCTCATGAAATATTCTACCCCATTGCACTCATAAACATTCATTATTTGTATATTGAATCATGGAAACAAGCAACTGTTGGCCTTAATCCACTTTCACTGAACCCCAATCTTCAGTCAAATTTCAGAACATCATTAGATACAATGGGGGTGTCAATATTTGCCTGATAGTGGGTGGGGGAAAAGCTAAGTCTGAGGATGTCTGACAATTCCCTACAGAAGCTAGCATGACCCAGGGGCAACACTCTCATGAGCCAAGCTCAAATTGGGCAGTTTTGGGCCATTTCAAGCAATTGTGAAACATTTCAGAACATTTGCCAACAAACTTAAGCACTGATTCTTAATTAAAAAAAATAGGTTTTCCATTTTGTGATTAGTTAAATGAATCATTAAAACATGGACCATTGAATACAAAATAAAAACAAAATTTTAAGCTAAATGTACAATTGATTGTTTCTATTGCTGTTGTAGACTGGACTCTGGATATGGGTCAAGCAAAAAATCAACAGGAGCATTTGAATCTAAAGAAAGTGAACGAGATGCATTGTTACCCTCTACTATCCTAAAGGAGAGCAACAGAGAATTTCTAACTACTGGCTCAAGTCTGGGTACTTTTGATGACAAAATACAACCTGATGATTCCGCACATTCAGAGATTAGCGATAGTGACAGTATTGAAATTATCAGCAACTCTGATTTTGCTGAGGTATGTGTGATACTTTAGATCAAACTATCAATCAAATTAACAATCAATTATAATCATCCATGTGGAGTGGAGTTAAATAGCCTTGGTGGTTAAGATATATGCCTTCTAATCCCAGGGTCCTGGGCTCAATTCCTGACACAGCAGAATTTTGTCTCACAACTAAAACAAACTCCACTCCCTACAGTATTAGTCTTATCAGATTTAATAAAAATGCATAACTGGGTCCTTCATTTCATTTTATTTCAAACTCAAATAGCAGTAAAATCAAAACTGAATTGCATGTGATGTACAATACATTAAAATTCTTTAGAAAATTTAACTTATACAAAGGTAACATTTTACGTGAATGACGATGCCCAAAATTTAAGTAAAAAACACTATTTAAACTACTACTAAAAAAGGGACATGGAGACAATATAGTATACTGCTACTATAAAAAGTCATGAAGACAATATACAAACTATTAAAATACATTAAAAATAACATTCACAGAAACTTTTGCTGTTATAATATTAAGCAATTAGTAGAGCTCCGCATAGTACACTACAGGAAAATTATTATATAAAGGTTAGATTTAATGATGATGACATAATTAGTGTTGAAATTTCGATACTTGGAGTATGTATTGTACTATCTTGGTTTATAGGCTCAATGAAAAAAATTATTAGTTTATAACCGCCGTGCGCATGTCTTCTTTGGTACTGGAAAAAAATTTATTTTTTGGGGGGGAAAAAAAAAATGTTGGAAAAAAAAAATGAAAATTGGTTTTTTTTGGAAAAATTTTTTTTTATTCATTTATTTTATTAAATAGTTAGTAGATATTGTTTGTATTATCTAAATCATGTTTACATTGAATATCAATGCACCAGCAAACAACCCAAGGGTGATATTTGGCTTTAGCAAAATAAAAATAAAAATTGGAGTTGCTGTGATGATGTCACGATTGCTTTAATAATAATAATTATTATTATTTTTATTTTCATCATTAAACATCATTCCTGTGGGAGATATCTACTGAACAGGATTAAAATCAATCAACTGCAATCAATCTACTTTAAAGCACAAGACTTATCAACATGTTTCGTGAACCAAGCAATGTCTAAAGCTAATAATAGAGTCATACTAAATATGAGCTACAGCGGCTAAGGTAGTCACGGACCACGCCTGTACACCGGTCAGCACAATTATGTTGCGAATAGAATAGGACCTACAACTACCTGATTAATTACTATATTATCATAATATTCTTTTGAAATCATATCGTAATAAAAAATGTTGGCTTATGAATTGAAAATTTCAGGGTACAAAAAATATTAACTTTTCAATATGTTAATATGTTAAAGTTGAAATTAGCATTATTTTATATACTCATTTTTGTTTTTATTTCTATGTAATTTAGAGACCAAACACTGATCGTGAGGACATTGAGGATTTAGGACAGTTTTCAAGACAAGTACTCCGAACAACGAATTTCCCATACTATGAAATGTATGCTACAGGAGGCCAGGTATTGTTAAACTCATCAACATCTTATAATAGTGAACCAATTTAGTAATTTTTTTTTATTGCAAAATAAACCTAAGACTATTTCATTTGTAGAGAACAATAGGATATACAAACAAATAAAAACTTCATTTAATTTCTCATAGCCTTTGTCTATCATTAATAGGTAAACATATCTTTGTTACATTTCAAGAGGTTCAACTACCTTTAAAAGAGAATCCTATCTCGAAATGTACTACCACAAACAATGAGGGCGCTCCTCAAAGAATGTAAAAGTTGTTTGTATCAACATAAATATGACATGGAATGCTTGCTATCTGACACAAATGCACATTCACACAGAAAAATGTAGCAAAATTCTTAATCTTCTCTAGTATTGGACACATGGAACACATTTTTCTCATGTGAATCGGGTATAGGTAAACACAAATGTAAAGATACACACAAATACGTGAAAAACAATTACATGGTAAAAAGATTTTTGTGCTCAAAGTGATCAAAGGTTAAACACTATTATATACAATTATACTATGGTACAGTATAATTGACTTATATTGGTAATAGTACTTTAGCATTAAGTTTCTGAAAAAAATATAAGACTCTATAAACTATATTTCAGAATTTAAAGATTGTTCTGAAAAATGGAGAAATATACCAGACTTTCTGCTATGTGTATTCAAAGGACATCAGCTGGCAGTTGGATCTTGAGTATGGCTTTAAGGGAGAGGAAGGTGAAGGATATGGCCCAACTAAAGAAGCGTTCACCAGGTTCTATGAGGAGGGAAAAGACTTAGTCTATGATGGATATGGAGAAATGGTACCAAGGAAATGTGACAAATGGAAAATAGTAGCTCAAATCCTGTATCATCAATTTAAACTCACGAAAAGGTTTCCTTTGTTTCTGTGCAGAGCTCTCATCAGTGAAATGCTAACTGGAAGAGATATTAGAGAGTACGATCAACAGTGTTTATTGAAATCTTTTTGCAATACAAAAGTGATAAATAATAAAATCATTTTTTTATCTGCAATTAATGATGGCTTAGAGAACATGCTACCGGAGGATCAAGAAACTTTGTTTAGAGGTATTAGAGAAGAACTAACAGCCGCTAATTTTGAACATAAAAGCATTAACGCTGAAAATTGGCGCGAAATTCTTCTTATTTTGGCCCACTTGGTTCTTATAGAGAATTCCTCAAGTGTTGTGCATGAATTCCAAAAATGCATGAGAAAGGATAACTGTGAATTCTATTCTGTAGATGAGGCAAAACAAATTATCAATGAGTTGAACCCTACAGCAAATGCCATCATAGGTAAGATTGAAATCCCATCAAATTTATCAGAAAAAGAAAATAATATTTTAAGATTCCTGTTTCAATTTATATCATCTTACTGTCAAAGCAGTGAGAATGCAGAACGACTCATGTTGTACTGTACTTCAAGCACAACACTGCCATTTGAACCTATTAAAATAGATTTTAATAGTGTTAATGGACTAATGCGTGCAGTTACAGCTAGCACCTGTGATAACTTGTTGCATATACCAAACACCTATGAAGACCAACGAAAATTTGAGGAGGAATTTATAAATACACTCCAAAGCAACGAATCATTCGTCTTTAGCTATAATTAAGATTAATCAAATACTGTAGAGGCTTCCTGCAGAACAGCAGCAGCAGAAGTAGTAGCCATGTACTGTAAGTAGTTACTTCATTTTTGGAGTTTGAATGAAAGCTTGAAACTCCGATTTCTACTATTAGATAAACAATCAGATTTCAGAGGTTTTCAAACTTTTAACCAACCCTCAGATGTCAGAGGTTTTGCATACTATATGCGAAAATTCCAAAATAGGAGTTTTCAAACTTTCAATATAACCTCCGATTTCGAGGTTCTGCGTACTATACGTGGAAACTAAAAAATCGGAGTATTATTAAAAGTTTTGCTCTCTCTCTTTCTCTCTCTATGTGTATATATATATATATATATATATTAATATATAGAAAGACAGAGCTTATTTAATTAATAGTACGCAGAAACTCAGAAATCGGTTTGAATAAAAGTCTGAAAACTCCAATTTTGGAGTTTTCGGTTATAAAGTAGTACAAAAACCTCTGAAATTTGACGGTTGATTAAAAGTTCGCTCTCTCTATAGAGCTTGTTTAATTAATAGTATGCAGAAACTCAGAAATCGGAGGTTTGATTAAAAGGTTAAAAACTCCGATTTTGGAGTTTTCGTGTATAGTACGAGTTTTGGTGGTGGGCGCAGACACTCTGATTAAGGAGTAACTACATACCTCTAGTAGTAGTAAGTGTGTTTTAGACACAGCTTTTTGAAAGTTACAGTCAATCATAAAAAATAGGCTTACATCCCTAGTAAACTTGAAAACACTGTAACTTATCAATTATTTGTTCAGCGAGTCAGTAATTGTCAATAATACTATATTGAAACATTATTTCTTAATAATAATATTAATAATAATAATAATGGTCATTTATGTAGCGCCTTTTCCTCTCGATTACAAAGCGCTTGTATCATGCACATAGGAACCTCAAATGTGCTTATACAGGTTATTCAGACACTATTTTTATTTTGATAAATAATAGCAATAAATTTAAATGGCAAAACAATTTCTTGAAACCCATTTTGACACATCCACACCAAATTATCATTGGATACAATTAGTCTCACAATGTTGATGTTGTTTAAAACACATCATTTATAACTATTGTATAACTTCTTATCTAGGTATTCATGGTTGCTTTTCATATACTTTACTGTACATAACTCATGAAATCAAAATAGAAAAACTTCTGAAATGTTAAATTTTATGTTAACACATTTAATTGTAAATGTGACTCATTTTTATTGCTGTAAATCACAAAGGTAATAACTATGTAACTTTGAACTGTGTATAATGTACTGTCTGCAAAACAACCTTAAAAAAATCAATTAAAATGAATTGGCTCATTTAAAAGAATCAAATAAGTCAAAAAAATAGATCGATATTTTAACTGTCTTTTGAATTGACTAGAAAATTATTTGTACATTATAAAAATCAAATAAAAAATTTAATTTTTCAATGAATTTAGCTTATAACATACAGTTCATCATTAAATAATCTAAAAGTAAAACTATAAAGCACATTCTGGAACTAAAATTACTATAAACATTGAACAAAAATATTTTCTCATTTAATTTACTAACTGAAAGACTATTTTGCAGTCTGTGTAGATACTATAGCAAGAAATTGTGGCTATTTAAACTTAAAAATTAACACACCAACATTAATCATGCACTTTTTCTAGTTGCAGCCATTTTTATTTTTAATGTCCAATACATCAAAAACAAATTATATAAATTACAAACATTGCTGCAGAAGGCAGAAAAGCACAATTAAAGGCAATCATATTGAAATACACTGGTTGACTGTATTGCCTTTTTATGCAATAATTTTGAAATGCTCTAATCCATAATTAGAGCATCACCATGCCATAATCACGGATTAGAGCATTACTATAATGCCTTACATAGGAAAATACTTAATTATATTAACACACAGACAGTATATTAAACATTTATGTAAATATGTAAATGTTTCATATGTTGATAAACAATCATTCCAAAATAAATAATTACTAATTTTGTAAATACATTAAACTATACTAATAATTTTAAACATGTTTTAAAACATCATAAAATTATAATTATGGATTCTTCAAATGAAACCTATAATTTTACTACAGACCTTATATTTTACTGACAATACTATTTCAATCCAATAACATCAATTCTTCTAGACAAGTCTCTAAATTATTGTTTCCTCCTAGTGTAAAAAACTTTCGGAAAGCACAGTGTTTATATCGAGAAACATTTTTTTTGTTTATTAATTGGATCGTGGTACCCAAAACAAGTAGAACATGAAACACTATTGGTGCAAAAAAGTACTTTGGAATGCAATTGATTATATTGGATATATTTTTAATAGTTTTCAATGATTAAGATAAAATTTTGGGATTGGAATCCTGTTTACAATCCTTCAACAGAAAATACAATTGCATGACAGGTAGTTGTCTACCCTATTGAATGTTCCCAGGATCTGTTACTGTTCTAAATTAAGTAAGATAATCATATCTTGGTTTAACGTTCTTAGCTTTCCTTTGAATTATACATGTTTCTTGAGCAAGTAAAATTTTTTTTGTTTAATTTAAAGAATCCATCATTATCTACACTGAAACCAGAATAATTATTATTTCTGCATCGACAAGTGTGTAACTGTAATATAAATAATTGTATATATTTAATCATGTTAATAAATTAATCATTATTTTTAGATTATATTAATCAATTGATAAAAAGTGTATATTGTAAGAAAATGTAAATAGAAGTGATGTTTGCCCTGCCTGACATGTTATCGTACTGAATACTCAGTACGTTACTCAACACTTGCGAAAAATATTTCGCAATTGATTCGGGTAGGAATTGAATTTGAATCACAACCTCTATAACCACTAGACCACCAACCTTGCACTTTGTTACTAGTGTTGAATACGACCCAAGTAGCAGCAGGCGCTACAACAGACCAAATTGGCACCTCTAGCTATTACTAGTCACGTGACATATAGTGGGTACTAAATATCAACATCCACATCGTAAACCACAGTGTGCACATTGAACACAGTATATTGAGAGAGTTATGATGTTTTTTAGACAGCGACCCAACATAAAGTAAGGCAGTAGGCCCATGTTTTTTTTTAAATAGTGATTTATAATTACTTTGGCAATCTGTGCATTTTTATTTAGGCTGTGGATTGCTGCTAGTCTAGGCTATATACAGGTATAGGCCTAGGCTGCACTGCAGTGTTAAGATTTATAGTAATAATAAAGGCGCCGCTCTGGTTCGTTTGTTTCCTGTAGTTTCTCCACTTAGTAAAATGGTCAAAATTTACCCCATTCGCGGGAGGGCAAATGTTCCATCAATGTTAATGCAAATACGCGAACAACTCATTCTTCTGCTATTGAAGTTCTTTGCTAATATCCACTATAAGTCACATGACCCAAGCCGCTGATTCAGTCTTTCTATTTCTATATTTAAATGTTTTGCATCAGGAAACATTCCTATATAGAAATTCCTGATGCAAAACATCAAAATAAAATGTAAATATTGTAAATAATTTTGAGAAAACATACAGTACCCATCTTGAAAATGAAAAGCCTATTCTATTTCTGTTCAGCTTTCAGCTTACAGTAGCCGTGAGGAAAATCTGGCCCTCCCTTGGCGTTCCTTCAAAACATTTTTTAAAGTAATTACTGTATAATACATAATCATAATACACAATCAATTATAATATTTTTTTTTATTGAGAATCACTTCTATCATTGATTGACAGATGATTTCTTATTCCAACACAATATCCCTCATCCTTATTAAATTTCACTACCAAAAAATCTGCAGGCCAAGTTAGCATAAATTATTTGGAATTTTTCATTAGAATACTGTAT